CGGCCCCGCGGGCCGCAGCGCGCACATGACCGAGTCCCGCCTCCCCCCACAGTCTCGTGCCTCCCGGGCCGGGAGCGTTTCACGGAGGAACGAAGCGGGGAAGCCGGACCTGGCACTGCGGGGGGGGGACACAAGGGCGGGGGTGACACGCGGGTTCAAGCCGGTTTCTTCCTCGGGCGTCTCTGCTGCTGCCCCGCAGCCACGCGCTTTCCAGGACGCCTGGGAAGACGCCCCAGCCTGCTGTGAAACAACGAGCCGTCCTGCACGTCCTCGTGGGAGCTCCCCCCCGCCCGTCACGCTGCTCCTCGGTTTCACCAGCGGTAGTTGTGGCTCATACCATGCCCGAAGCACGACTTCCCTGCTGCCGCCCTGACTCAGGGTGGAGGCCACAAAAGCGGGAAGCGGGGGTTTGTTTGCAGAGCGGGTGCAGCAGAGCAATGGGTTTTTCCAGCCACTCCAACGTGTGTCAATAAGGGCCTGAGAGTGCACTGGCAGAGGAAGAGTTTGGCCTCTAAACTCTGTGGGGTACAACTGCAGGGGCAGATTACCACTATCTGTTCTCGTTAGGAAAGAGACGGGGTCACTGCACAGAGACTAGTTATCTGATGCTAATGATCTTCCAGTCAGGGCCGTGGTCACACCAGGTGGCCAGAAAGAAGAGGTTCTCTTACCCTAAAGCCATCTCAGCCCTGGTGGAAACCTTTCCTCCCCTCCCACCCAAGCTGCCCTGTCTTGTAATATCCCAGGTTTAACAACAGTCTATTTGCCCACACTGCTAATTCATTGGAAAATCCCAGTGCGGAGCCTAAAACAAGGGCTGAAAGCTGCTTTCCCATTAAATCTTCCTTCAGGTATCAGGAAGCATCTTGTCCTTCTTTTTGGAGCTACGTAGCAGCTGCATGGGCTACTACCACGTGTGTCTGAATCAGCAATAAATCCTAAAGCCAGTTGGATACAACTTTCATAGCAAAGTCAAGTTACTAATATGACAAATTCCTTTCAGTCTTTCTATATTCAGCTGGAACCTGCTTATACCTACCCCCTGTTTCTTTGCTGGGTTTGATGCTAAACCGGGACAGTCAACCCAGAACAGTCAAGAGCAATATAGGGACTCAATTTAGAGACGTCAGGGGAAACCCAAATCCCACCAGCCAACCTGGATCTCGCCTAACAGGCAGAAAGCTTTGAAACACATAGGTGGAGCCTATTCCTGGCACTTACTGAAGTCAGCAGAAACACTTCTGTCCATTTCAGCTAGAACAAGGTCAGGCCCTGCTAATTGCAACATATTACACTGAAAATTAACAATTGCTTTAGAGCCAAACTCAAAAGCCAATCTGGTCTGCTTACAAATAAAGAAAAGGTCACCCTGACCCCGGCTGCCTGGGCATGAAGGGTCCCAGAAGTACAGGCTTCTCAGACTCCACACGAACTGCCCTGGATCAGCACATCTTCATTCTGTTGCCTTCCTTAAAAATAAAAACACTGAACCATATTAATGCACAGACAAGCAGCATCCCATGGAAGCTCTCTACAAAACAAAATCTTTTACAGCTTGGAATCATCACTCCGCCTTAAAGGCCAAGTAGTGGTACGGCATTTGAAAGGCCTGCTTCCAGAAAGACAGCTGTGTTCTTAAAGAACCACATCCATACTTCACAACACAGCTACTTAAATACTGCCAACTGGCTGCTCTCTACATTCTTATACCTCAGCAAGACACCAAAATTACCAAATGCAACATTAGTTCCACTAACTCCCTAACAGTCAGCTATGTCTTTGCAGACTATCTGCCTATGCAGTGACATGAGGCAAGTCAAAAAGTTTTCTATGCTAAAAAGGACTTAAGGGAAAGAAGCCAAAGCCCAACAAGAAGAAATCTGCTTGAGCAAGATCCAAATTCCAGCCTGTCAGAAGAGATCTGTCTTCTGTCCACAGGCCTGAACATTCTCTCCATTGCTAACACACGTACTTTTCCATGGAAGGAAAAGGAACCATGATTCTCTTGTAAACTGGATTGCCACTAAAGAGCAATTGAAAAGCATGGATAGGTGTGAGGCAAGACCATAGCACAGGCATCTATATGTGCCTGGGGTGAGAGATCTGGGTTTAGATGAACAGCTGTTTATCATTCATACATGAACTTGGGGCTTTGAACCTAGATTATCATGTTCCAATGGTATCTGCTAATCAGAAAAACTCATCAAGATGTAAAATGCATTAGAATTAATTTGAACTTCACCAGCTTTGGTGATTTAAAAAAATGGCAACTCCTGTACTTTACTCTTCATTAAAAAAGCCCCCTGTCAATGTATGAAGCAGAAATTCCTCCTGGAATCATCTCATTACCCAGCAGGCAAAAATAAGACTTATAAATAAGTAGTGTTTAGAGGCTGGACACAACACATGGAAGCAGAATCCTATCGTTCACTTGGTGAAAGGACACAGCATGGGCGCATGCTTGTGCCTCTGAGGGACTCCATCACCCACCATGTTCTCTGCAGGAGTTAAGAGAGTGTTGAAGAGAGAGGGTGTTGTCTCAACTTCCCACACTATCTGCTCTGCTGCAGGTACTGATGCGTGAACATGTTGAGCTCGCTGTCTAGCCAGCCTGCTTTATTCCTGTAAGGAAGAAAAAGAAGTCTCAGTTAGGCTTGTGTGCTAGTCAATATTCACCTCTCTGAATCTGAAAAAGCCCTTTCTACTTAGATGCTGCTTGAGGTAGGAGAGGCTGGTGAAAGCCCAGCTGAGTTAGGAGGTAGCAATGTCTTTATTGTAAACAAGAATCCATGCCACAGCTCTTTATTGAGAGGCGCCAATGACTAGAGCTACTGCCAATCTGAGCAATGGTGGGAAGAGTCTACAGGGCTGGAGTGCAAGGGCACATTCTGGCTTGCATGGTCCAGGGAAACCCGCTGCATAATACAGAACCATTTCTCCTTTAGAAAAGGACATGCCAACGTGGATTTGCTGGCAGGAAGAAGAGATCTCACCTGAGCAGCTTTGCTTTGCTCTGTAAGGAGTCCAAGATCTCAATTTTCTTATTCATGGCAGCAATTTCCTCTTCAAGATTTTCCCGCGTGAGATCAACCTGCTGACACAAGTGAGCAAATGTCCCAGCAAGCTCCCTAGGAAATGGGCAGAGGAGGGGAGAGAGAGGACAAAAGAAAGACTGATTAAGCACCAAACTCCCAGCAGAAGCCTCTTATGCTGTGCAATAAGTTTGATTGTAGGCTTGCCAGAAAGACTGCAGTGAGAGCACCTTTCTACTACACCTCTTGGGCTGTAACAAGAATCTTGGAAGTCTGACCTTAAGGAAAGTCATACGCATTAAGACTAGTACTTAATAGCACTCCGATACGAGAACTCGGGCTTTCATGCATGCTCCTGTCTACATTTTTAGTCCTGAAGCTAGGGCCATGTATATTGGACCTGGTGTGCCTCTGTGGCTGTGGGAGATTTCAAGGAAACTACCATTAAAATGCTCTTATTTAGAAGAGACTCACTGTTGGACTTGGTGGCTGCAGTTGGAACCTGTGTAGCTGACAATGAGCTGCAGTTTCTCGCTGGCATACTCAACAAACTGGCGCTTGAAGGCTCTCTCCTTCGCTTTCGTGGTCCAGGTGAGGCGTTCATACACATAAAGGAGCCCGTAAAGGCCAAAAGAGAGTGCAATCAGTCTCCAGCCCACGGCTTTCCAGACCTGCGCTCAGCACAGAAGAAAATGGGCATGAGTCATTGGCTAGGAAGGAGGGAAATGTCTCCCAACAGAATAGAAAGCAGCAAATGCATGTTTTAAGCACATGCTGCCAAGACAGAAACAGCCAAGTAGTAACCCTCACTTGCTCTTTGCCTGAGGAAGTCATCCCTCTCTGCTACTACTGCCCATTCTATACAAAGAGAACAACCCAACCTAACAATCAACTGGCATGTCATGGGTGCTGTGCAGACTAACATTTGCAAGGCATTTGGAAAACATCTATAAGTGAAAGAGATCTCTCTCCTGTTTGCAGTGTCCCTGTTTCTGAAGGGAAGACCACTTCTGAAGAGATATTCTGTCTCCAAGCAGTGCAAGACAGTGGAATAGGCCTGGGGCAGGGATCTAGGTAGGGTACACCATCTAAGATCAACCTAATGTCTTATTTTTCAAAAAGTGGTCCCCAACTGTCAGCGCCCAACTTGAGACATCTTGAGTTTCTTTTCAAAAGCACTAAGCAAATTTAGGCCTGTGCAAAGCAGCTAGTATTCCCTTCGGATTCGGCTGATTTGGGGGGGTGGGGACAGTGATTTGATTTGGTGATTCAAATCACTGTCCTGAATCGATTCTGCTGAATCTCCGAATCAGCCAGGCCCATCCCCTGCCCACTCTCCCGGCCCAACAATGGCTGCCCCAGCTTCCAGCTCTTTGGGGGAAAAAAAAGCCCCTTCACCAGGTGCTACCGGTGGGGGAGATCCCTGCTGCCCAATGCTGTGTGGGGTGCTTTGCACGAGCCCCCTGACCCCTCCTCGTTCCCCCACAGGTGCCCTACCCAGGCCAGCTCCGGCCCTTTAAGGGAGAAAACAAACAAACAAACAAAAAAACCCAAAAAAGCCCCGCACTCACCGCTCCTGCCAGCAGGAGGCAATCCCTGCTGCCTCCCGCCATGTGGGGGGCTCTGCACAAGCCTCCCAAGCTCCAAGGCTGCTGCAGGAGTGGAGAGTCCTGGGGCTTTTCTTGGGGTTTTTTTCTTAAAGGGCTGGAGCTGGCTCAGATGGGGCACCCATGGCGGGGCCAGGGAGCTTGTGGAGAGCCCCCCATGTGGCATGGGGGGCAGCAGGGATCTCTCCCCCGCCCGGTAGTACCTGTTGAGCAACGGGGCTTCTTTTTTTTCTTTTCTTTTTTTAAAGTACTGGGAGCTGGGGTGAGTGGGGCAGCCATGGAGGGACTGGGGAAGCGGGCAAGGTCAGGGTGGGGGTCCCTCCATGGTCCCCTTTCCCAGTGCCCCGTCCCCTGCCCCTATTTACCAGCTTGGAGTCCGGCCACCGAGGACTACCCGAATCAAAGCTGGAATCTTTGGAAAAGATCAAGAGAGCTTTGAATTGATTCAGACCTTTTAATTGGTCCCCCAATTCAATTTGGATTTGGAGATTTGGCCACCGAATCGGGCCAAATCTCCTCCAAATTGAAATCAACACCCAAAGCTTCACACAGCCTTACTAAGCACATACACCTCCAAGTCAGCTGGTGGTGCTAGGACCCAACCCCTCTGAGAAAGAAAAAAAATCAACCCAACCTGTCTAAAGTTGAGACTCCCTCCACCCATAAATGCACACAGATATCAAGGAAAGATCAAGCTGGTAAAAGGGTCAGCTTTAACCTCTTAGTTTCTCCATCTCCAACCTCTTGTTCTCCAGGGACAAGGATACTTCAGTGATATCTGAAAGATCCTGAATCTAATCCTAAATTTCAAGAAAATGACTCCATCCTAAGGAACATCAAGGGGAGACAATGATTTGCTCTGAGATCCACAATAGACAGGAAACACCCCAGCAGATACTGCCTGAAGCCTATAGTCCAAATACTTGCAACAGTGCAACCACCAGTGAACACCATGGCTTTTCAACCCACCACTCCACCAATCACGAGGATCCCCATGGAAGTTCTGGAGGTGAGTGATGCCAATCCAGTCACCATAGACACCATGAGCTCTTCCTGGGTCATAGAGCCCTGAGGTAGGGGAGGCAGACTGGGATTCGCTGGGGTTAAAGGTATAGGACGCTGAACCTAATTAGAAAGGAAGAGGAAAAAAATGCTGCAGATAAGAGGGAGAATGCAAGCTGAAGCCAGTTATTTCAAAGCACTGACAGCCACTGTTATCTTCAGCAAATGCACTATCCACTACTGACCCACCGAATGTTCAGAAAGAGTCTTACCTGGTCATTATAGCCCATCAAGGCCCGACGACTATTTTTTGGTCCCAAAAACCTATTCACAAGCATAGTCCAGCCAAGAGAGAAGTGGAACTCAATGTCCTCCTGGAAGTCGGCACAAAGTTTGTCGCAGTTCAGGTCATAGCTGAGTGTGAAGCACTGGCGAGGGACCAACAGGTCTACCTGGCCTCGCAGAGAGACTGGGAGAAGTGGTTTTAATCCATCTGTAAGGATAGAAAAAGAGAAAGTGGGGGGGGGGGGGTTGGGAGGGAAGGATGCACTCATTAGGATGGTTAGAATGGAACCAGTTGGACTCTCAATCCTGTGCTCATGTTGGTCATTGCCTCCTCATTCTCTCTCTCTCTCTCTTTCATAGTTTCATAGTTTTAGGGTCGGAAGGGACCTAATAGATCTTCTAGCCCGACCCCCCGCCAGGGGGGGAGAACAACAAAAAAAACCCTAAAAACAAAAACGGGACTCAAATGAGTCCAGCCAGGTAGGTATCCAGCCTCTTCTTAAAGATCCCCAGGGTAGGGGCCAGCACCACCTCCCTTGGAAGTTGGTTCCAGCTCCTAGCCGCCCTAACTGTGAAGTAGTTTTTTCGGATGTCCAATCTGTACCTCCTCTCCATCAGCTTGTGCCCATTACTCCTTGTTATGCCAGCGGGGGCTAGGGGAAACAGCGTCTCCCCCAAACCCTTCTGGTTCCCCCTAGTGAGTTTATAGATGGTCACCAGGTCCCCCCTCAGCCTTCTCTGGCTGAGGGATGTTCTAAGTGATTCTCTCTCAGAATCACTTAGAACATCCCCTCTGATCACAAGTAGGGCTTGAAAATGTCCCAAGACCAAAGATGGCACAAAAGGTGAGAAGCCCCAGAGAGCAGTCATTCAATCTTCTACTTTTACATTTTAGAAGATATCATTCTGGCAACTTCTCCCCCTCACCCCGCATTACTCCCTATAATGGTCTATGGACCTCTGGGGGTCTGAATACTGTACTGACCTATCATTTCTTGCTGCATGGTTTGCAGGGAGGCAGTGATGACATTAGAGCAACGATCTGACATGTTACGGCCCAGGCCTTCCTCAATGTGTCGATGCAGTTCCTGAAGTAGACAGAGTTTATTACATGGAAACAAACCCAGACAACTGTAGTTCTTGGAGTGTCCTCATATGACTCACTGAAATAAAGAACATTTTTCCCCCAGCACAGGGAGCTTATATGGTCTGTGTTTTGGGGAAAAGACTGGATCCGTTTAATCTATGTGATGAAAAGTACAACCACAAACAGCAACCATTAGTGACTTAATGTAACATGCTGTGATTCAACACTATGCATTACTAAAATGACATCAGTCTGGAAAGTCCTTTTCTGGATGCCATTTTTTACTGAAGCTGACAAAGTGCAAGAGACAAAGTGCAATTTCAGTGCTCTGAAGAATAGAGTCTACCGGGCTGTTTAATAGGATGTTTAATATCTTGGACAGCTGGTGTGATTACTGAATCATTAGAGCAGGAAATGACAGTTTAGGCAACTGGTCCAATAGGGTGGACACAAACATCACTCACATTCTTGTAAACTTTGAGGACAACTGAGGATGGGTGGAAGTCCATCTGGTATTCATCTACTAACACAGAGAGCCGCCGGATCTCTTCAGCCATTGCATTGGACACCTAAAAAAAAGTCACACAGATTGCACAGTGCACGAGTCGAGAAGACTCCTGACAGCTTGAGACAGCTGTTAGGATACCAGTTGAGGGGAAGAAGGCAGGGGACTATATTTGCATTTCAGAGTAAAACCTGTAAGGGATGAGAGACTGGAATACCCAAGAAGAGGCAAGAGACAGAGATGCTGAATGCATGAATCGTGAGATATGTGAGGGTCCTAAGGGAGAGAAGGGGGTGCAGAGCCTTATAAAAAGCCAGACAAAGATGAGGCCTATGAGATAGATATCCTCATCACCTAAGATGACCTGCAGATCCTCCAGAAAGACTTTCTGAATACCTGGACCTATGCAAGACTTTGTTGTCTTTTTGGCTTATTATGCTGCATTTGAAGTTAGCTTAACTGGTGTGTGCTGTCACTGTCTTATTGGACAGTGTCTTAGCTTAGGCAGAGTTTTCTTCTGATATACTTTGATGCACACTTGAAATTGCAAATTGCTGTGCTCAATAAATGCACTCTTTAAAAAAAGGACTATTCTTGTTCAAGCATTTATGAATTCAGTGCCACTACCTAAAGTCTAATATTTTAAGTCTGGTAACAGTTTCCTCAAAAGTGTCAATGAACAGATTAATCCTGCAGCAGCAGCAAAGCTCCACCACATTTGCTCTGGCACAGCCACGTGGCTTCAGTGCTTGTCCAACCTGTTGTGTGCTCCAACTGCATGGTTTCAGCATCTCTTCTGCTTCTCAGTTGCCCTTTGGACCTCTCCTCCCACCCCAAGTGGTGCTGCCCTGGCCTAGCATACTCTTCCTCACCTGTCTCTCCACTTCTTCTGTGATCTGTTTTATTTTCAGCTTATAGTCCTGGGTGAGCAACTCCAGCTGTTTTTCAATGAAGCCCAAGCGCTCCTGCCGATCCTCACGCATTTCCAGGCAATAAACCCTGAGGGAAGGTGGTGTCAGGTTTAGTTCATCTCTGATAGGCTAAGAGGACAAACATTTTCTTCCTGGGACAGGGAACGACAGTAGCTAAAACACACGACACACAAGTAGTGTGTGGGACAAATAGGTGATTTCTTCCCATCTGTGCAGTCCATTAGATGCAGGGTTACTGGTATATGTCCCCCTCCTGCCCCTGAAACTTTTGCTTAAGGTACAGAGATTTTAAATGCAAATGCCCTCATGCTGCCCCCGACTCGCTCCTTAAACCAGTCAGTGCAAAATTCAGTTTCGTTTGCACCAAGAGTGCAGCCACTAACCTTTGCTCTTGGGCTGCAACATGTACCGAGTCCATGATGAGACGGACATCCTCTGCAATCTGCTTGGCTCTCACTGTATGCTGCTCAAACTTGGTTTTCACTGCAGACTGTGAGATGCATTCCTGTGCAAATGGAGACAGCCATCAGGAAGCCAGCAGCAAGCAGAAAGGCATTGACAGAGGCCTGCTTTATCATGCCACCGACTGTCAAAGACACAGCTACAGCTAAAAATTTACAAGACCCATCTCCCCTTTCCAGAAGCAGGACTCTAAAGAGTAGGACAGGAGGGCGGTGTGATAATGATGCTCACCTCAAATCGTCTCTCGAAGTTCTGAAACTCGAACATTCTAACTTGGAACCCCTCTGCCAGTGCTCCACCTGCGGGACAGCAATGTCAGCACGGCAAGCTTCCAGAAGGCAAAGGCTTTGAAGAAACAGGCCTCCAGATCAGCTACTACGTCACCTTCCTGTTCACTTCTGGCCTCTATCCCCTGCCCGTGGCTCACTCACCACCCACCCCAGCTCCAAGTTGAATCACCAACATATTATCTGAAGCGAGACAATCGCTACTTTTCCACACGAGAGCAATGGAAGAGCTGGTAGTTCTCCACACCTCCTTCTGGCATCCCCTGGGCTTTCTGGATCCTAGCGTTCAGCACTTCCTTTGCAGACACAAAGAAGATGCGGTCCCCAGCCTGAGCTCGATCCACCACGCCCAGCTCATCCACCAGGAAGCTGCTGCAGCGCTCCATGTGCTGCCGACGCACCTGAAGCAGAAATCCAGGGCAAACTGTTCAGTCCGCTTGACAGTCTGTGCCATTGCCTTCAGTGGCCGAGACAACCACACACCCCCTGCAGGCCTCAGCAAGTGATACAAGTAAAAAAATGGAAAAAAGGTATTCCGCTTTGCTGTTCTATAGTACTTTTTCCAGGCTCTGAAAGCACTTTTCACATATTAAGCCCCACCAGACCCCTGTGAGGCAGGTGAATATTCTAGCCGTTTCACAGATGCGTCAACCAAGGCATAAAATCAATTGCTCCAAGCAACAAAAAAAATGGCATCAATGAGAACTCAGGAGCTGTCCCCCCAGAGCTTTGTTCTAACCAGTAACCTGTTTTTACTTCAACCCCTTTGCCCTCAAATGCCTCCACATTATGGTAACTAAACTATAAGAGAATCATCTCCTGGTGCCACTCCACCCTCCATTTTTGTAGAGAGCATCCACTCCATGAGTGAGGAATACTCACGTAAACCTAGCACTGACCTCTTCCATGTACTCTGGCTCAGAGGCCGATGCATCCCAGCGGTTATTCAGGATGAAAATATTGGGCCGAGACAAACGCTCATTCACCTTGTGGAAGAACTGCTTCTCCTAGACAAAGGGAGACTTGCATGTCAAAAGCCTGAGCATCTTCCTAAAGCCAAGGAGCAGTAACAAGCAGACGTGGAGTTACCGTTTGCATTAGCGTGGACTCCGAGTTTGCTACCAGCACAAACACATCAGCATCCAGGCAGAACTTGTCTATCCAGCTGTCAAGCTCTGTGGTCACATCAATGCCTGGGCTACAGAGAGGAGAAATTGAATGTCACTGTAGCTCCGAAACTTCAAAGATATTCCTTCTTTGGGGAAAGTCTACTGAATTGTATTAGGGAAGCTGGTTAGAGCTGTTCAGTACAACCACTGTCTAATACTTGGGCTACACCATGCCTAGGGGTTACTTAGGCTGAGCATTGAAAACAAATAATAGCTGAATGTTGCTCTCTGTGCATGTCTATTCAGACTCCTATCACTTTTCCAAACAAGCTCCAACTGTAAAAAGGAATCTCACCTGTCCATCAGCACCAGGTCATCTTTTAAGAGAGGACACTTGGAGTTTGGCCACATTACACTGACAAGGCTACCAGCATTCAGAAGTTCATTTTGATGCAACGCATGAGCCAGCTGGTTTACTGTCTGTCCAAGAGTCGGGTGGAGTTTGGGGGGAGGGGAAGAAAGATAGCAGTGTTACAAATTTTCCAATAACAATGAAAATACTTAGCTCTCTGCCCTGAACTGTTCATGGACAACACTAAGTCAAAGACCCACCTTTGGGACATTTCCCTCTTTGGGTGAAGGAACATAAATCTGCCTGGTACCTGTGTTAACAGATGCGCACTTCTGAACAGTCCTGTAAAAGAATTGCCCCTTTCCTGCACAACTGGAATTTTCCGTATCAGACAAGGATTCCTTTCCACAAGGAACACAGAGTTAGATGGAAAGTCCTAGGCCATCAAGGCCAGTCTTCTCCTACCAGATAACAGCATAACCTGAGCAAACTCTGTTTTAAAACTACTTAGTTTATTCCAGCTCCAGCAGCTCACAGATCTGATGATTCAAAACTTCTTTTTGGTTTCCAGCCTAGATTTTTTGACGGACAGTCTTATATTCATTTGTTCCTGGGTCAACACTATCTTTTGGCTTCAGCAGTTGTTATCCCTCCTTGGGGTTCACACAGATCAGGTAAGAGTCCATTTTTTTTTTTATTTTGTACTAATTAGGCACCTACTTTGACACTCCTCTTCTCCTCTGAGCCTTCAGTAAGCAGGAAAGCATCATGGCCATCTGTCCCTTCCACACGGAGGAAACAGTTTGTGGTGTGTCCAATCCCCGAGGGAAGGACTTTGTCCCACAACATGGCATTTATCACCGTGCTTTTGCCATTGCTTGTCCTGGGGGTAGATAAAGGATGAATCAGTGGGGTTTCCCAGATGCTGCTGTGCTCTAAACAAGATAGTTACTCAAATCCCCTATCCCAACTAGCTCCATAAACTATTACCACTTTAGTCCTCACAGGCAACTGGTTGGCAAAGCACTGTCAAAAGGCAGCCTGTTATTTTCTTATTTAAAAAATGTCTTTCAAACTCAGCAGGGGGACAAACAGGAATACCAAGGCTATTCACCACTAGATATTTTCACAGAATATTTTTCACTTGCCATGATCCCAAAGGCAAAGGTTATTAGGTCAAGTAAGGGGCAGGAATAAATCAAGTGTATCCAACTCACCTGCCAAAAAAAGCCACTTTCATGTGTCGTCGGGCCAACACCTCACTGATGCCACTGACTTTTGACAGGTAACCTTTGACTTCCACTACCTGCTCTTCTGTGGTGACAGGGTCAAGCTCCACATTCTTGTGAGTTTCTGAAACCACAGTAACATGCCCCTTTGAAGTTCAGAAGTAATTCATCAGTGGCACATGGTCAAACCAACTGAGAAATTTAGGGAATCTAATCCATGCCCCTGGAATGTAACTAACCAGGTGTTTATTTGGATCTTAGCGACTGAAACCGAGTCCAAGACTGGTTTAAAGGTCACATACACAAGCACGTTTTGTTTTGCGTCCTGAAGCCTGGGCACTTGCCAGCGGCCAGTGCCTTAGTTTCAGAGCTCAAAAGATCCTTACTCTCCAGACTCCCTCCAATAGCACACAACTGACATTTCAAACCCCTCCAAGTTCCTTACATGCACTGCTGTCCAGTCCTTAAGCTATTAATGCCAAAAGGTTGGCATGTGTGACCTTTACAACTTGCCAGCAACAAGCTGCCTAAACAGACAGAAACCAAGGGATTCAAGGCAATTAAAAAATAAACAAACCAACCCCTTTATATAGGAGAAGTTTTCTGTTTTGGTATTGAAGTAAACAAAGTGCTCCTGTCCACGTGTTAGCAAGTTACACAGCTTACCTTCCAGGAAAGTAGCACTTTCCTGGATATATGCAGCCAGCTGTTCAAAAATGCCATTGATCTTCTTCTTGGCAGTAACGAAGTGTTTGAGCGGAGAAGCGTTTACTTCCGCCATGTGTCTTTTATCCTTCTTCACTGCAACTATGGAGTTGGAGCGAGCAAACAACAGGGACATTGCGCTGTGGGGAAAACAAGCTAATGAGAAGATACAATTCCCCTAACACTGACTCTTGGCCTTACCTAAAAAAACTATAAAAATAAAATGCTGCATGAACAACAGACACCAAATAATATCCTATAGTTATGAAAAGACCCTATAACACTAGATGAAGTGAGCTCTTGTCCATGAAAGCTGAGAGCATAAGCACTGCCCTGGGTCCACCTGCCCAGTATCCTGCGTCACACGGCAGTGGAGAGTGAACTGGGTCTGACAAGGGTTTTTTCCACTGTTCGTCTCCCACTTGCAGCCTCCAGTGTTTACAGTCCTATTGCAAAGGGTCTCTAGACTTCAGCAGTGGATGACACGAAGCTTCCCAAGGCACCAAAATGAGGAGCTCTATTGCGGTCTACGCTGCAAGCGCAGGAAGGCAGCAGTGCAGCCGGAGTGTCCCAGCGGAGACCTCTGAGGTCCGGCCACATCCGTGCCCGAGGGTCCAGCTATGCTCAGCACAGCCACCTGCTCCGGGGAGGACAACG